ATATAAATAAATAATATATAATATATACATATATATATATTATTATATATATATAATATATATATATATATATACATATATATAGACATATATAATATACATATATATATATATATATATATATATACATATATGTAGACATATATAAATATACATATATATACATACATAAATATATATATTTAAATATATATATATATATTTAATATATATATATATATGTGGATGTATGTATGTCCATATATTTATATATATATTATATATGTGTGCGCGTATGTATGTATATGTATATAAAAATGTGATATCTGATAAAAAAGGCAAATCTGAAAATCCCGGATAATACTCAAATCTGAACTTCTGTAAATAGCTCTTTTTTTAAAATAAATATGAAAACTTCGCAGGCAAACTCGTTTTTTTTGTGTATTGAAATGGATGAATTGGTATGGAATTCCGAAATGTATATAATTATACACGTTCAAGGAAGCCGATTCATTCGCTGAAATTCATACTGCGTACGACATTCCCCCTTTTTTTGAGGGGTTAAAAAAATATTGCACAAATAGTATCGCCGTATCACTAACATCAGTGACTTCAGTCCTTTGGACACTACACTCTACAGTCTACAGTCTACACTCTAAAAAGTGTTACGAAACATGCGTATGCATTTGTACTACGACTACGAAACATGCGTATGCATTCGTTCTACGACTACGAAACATGCGTATGCATTTGTACTACGACTACGAAACATGCGTATGCGTTTGTACTACGACCCATTGTATCTGTTCTCATAGAATCACCTCATCTTCCTAGTATAAAACGACAAAGAGAAGCTGTATACTCAGCAGAACTCACTGTCATCTTGGATACAAACAGTCACAAATAAATCACAATGGTCAAAGCAACGGCACAAACCTGGAACGGCGCCGAGTCCAACGCAACGACAGGTAGTGCATTAGTCAACCTCTTCTTCCACAGTGCTCGAGGGCTCGAAGCATCGGATCTGCGCTCACTGCTTAGCAAGGCGTGGCAGGAAGACGAGCTATTGACACTCAAGATGATTGCATACATTCGAGACATCAGGCACGGCGGAAAGGGTGAGAGACAGCTAGGCCGTATATGTCTGCAATGGCTAGCCGATCAGTCGAGCGCTGATTTAACACATAACTTAGAACATTATGTCGTAAACTTCGGTCGTGGAGACGATGTGATTTGCGTTGCAAACCGCCTGTCCAATTGTGCGCCCTTCGAATTGGTATCCAGAATCCTCCTAGCCGATCGCGACAACGAATCCGGAACTATATCGATGATGGCGAAATGGGTGCCCTCTGAAGGCAGAAAGAATGGTGCGTTTTACACTCAACTGGCAGAGCACATGAGACTAACGAACAAAGAACTGCGCGTGCTTTTGTCCACATTGCGCGCTCGTTTGTGCCTTGTGGAGACCTATTTGGCAAACAAGGAGGCACATCTGATAAACTATGGAGCCGTACCAAGTCAAGCCATGTTCCAGTACGGTAAAAAAGGTAACGCGTTTGAGAAGCGGGATGGAGAACGATTCGGCGAGTACAAAAAGGGATTGGCGGATGGTACTGAGAAGGTGAACACAAGCACACTCTATCCTCATCAGATTGTGAAGCAGTATTATGAGCGAGGTGACAGTCAGGTTGATGAGCTATTGGAAGCCGGTTGGAAGGCGATGGAGACTCGACTGACAGATGAAGAGAAGAGGAATTTGGCACAAAGCTTGGTGGTATGCGATGTTTCCGTATCGATGACTTATCCGAATAGTACTCCAATTCTAGTGTCCATCACAATGGGTTTGCTCATTTCCAGCATGAACCCCCACCCCAATTTCAAGGATCGGCTAATCACCTTCTCCCAAAATCCGACCTTTCATAAAGTACAAGGGTCCAACTTGCGTGAAAGAATAGACAGTATCGTAGACGCTGAATGGGGGGTTAACACGGACCTTCAGAGCACTTTTAATTTGATTCTAGATGCCGCGATAGCATCGGAGATGAAAGCGGAAGATATGCCCAAAACACTCATTATATTATCAGACATGCAATTCGACGAAGCTGACAGTGGAGACACCAACTATGAGTTAATGAAAAAGAAGTATCGTATTGCCGGATATACTATGCCTCTGGTTGTGTTCTGGAATTTGAATGGAAGTATCAGCGACTTCCCCACGGGTGCGGATGAACCCGGCGTTGCGCTTATCTCTGGATTCAACGTAGAAATCCTCAGAGATGTAATGGCTGGGCATGAAGTCACGCCGGACTCCGTCATGAGAAGTGCATTGGGTAGGCCAGCCTGGGACTGTATTGAAAAGGCGCCTACGTCCATCGCAATCGACACATCAGTGTCCCAATATGTAGCATGAATTATTTAATCTCCTTGTTTTGTGTGTTTTTACTTTTTTAATTGTCTATCGTCGCCTTTTTCTAAAGCAATAAATTCATAGACCTAAAGGAAAAAAAATATCTGTCTGAAAACTGAGTATGTATGTATGCATCCAGAAAAAGAAAAAAAATAAGCGGTTGACGTCATATGGCTGAGGTGATCAGCCGGTCAGGTCTGTCTCTAAAATCTAAATAAATAAGTGTCTACTGTCTCTCTAGTAGAGATATAACACTGGTGGACAAAATAGGTCAAAATATGTACATATGACAAAATTACACTTATCTATGCCATATATTGTTTTTGTTTTATACCAGTCGACACCATATCCCTACTGACAGACCTGTCCTACAAAATGTCGTCGCGAGCAGTATCAACTATCAAGTATCATCGCACATATCACCAGTGCCAAACAATCCCGCGAGTCGCAGGATTCTCAAATTTCTGGCCCTTAAAACATAGCCTTGTTTTATGTACAATTTAGAAAGCTACGGTTTTATGTACATAGGCTATGCAAAAAATTAAAATTAAAAATCCTACGGTTCGCAGGATTGTTTGTGTTATTTTGTATTCTGAGACTAAGCTCATAGAAGGGTTGGATTTACGACCTTGAATTGTGTTGGGTATTTTAAGAGGACAAAATTTTACGTGTTTCATATTAGTAGGAAGTAAAACCTTTGTATACGTATAGCAACCGGACAGTATGTATAGAGTTTATGTTCAGTCAAGGATGAGTAGTTAAGCTAGTGTATTGGAACGAGAACGATGGTGCGTAGAGCGGGAGCTGGCCTACCAGTACCGCTTCCCTATAGTGCAAGAGAACAATCAAGGTCAAGCAGTAGTCAAACTAATGACCAGAATAATCACTATATATGGACACACGACATGTACAACGACCCATTGATGCCCCACGAAGTCACTAATACCAATGCCATTCCACCTCTGATGGGTCCCAATATTTCCTGCCACCACAATACCTGTGAGTCATGACAACTCGTTTGCTAGCTAAATGTCGACGTCGTGTACCGATGTACCATTTACCATTGGGCATTGTGCCCATAACCCAGGTATCCACTGAATATTTTATTAAAAGAGATACAAATATCCAATTTTTCCAGACTCCCCAGTTCCACTCCAGAGGCAACTCCATGTTGCAAAACAAAATAATTTTTACAAAAACACTTTTATTTATTTTTAAAGTTAAAACAGAGGTGTAAATCAGACTCACAAGTCACAACTGACAACTCACAACTTCAAAACAAGTGACCACGCTGACACACAGTCAGAGTGTCAAACACCCCCTGGCAAGCCCGCATCTGTGGTCAGAGGTGTGTCAACTGTCAACTGTCAAGTGTGGAGACTGGAGACTGGAGAATGGACTCAGAGTCAGTGGAGACTGGCCACTGCAGTATTTAACGACTCATAAAGTCATCACTCATCAGTCGTCACTCCGCACTCGTCGCTATATTTCTATTATATTTTTTTTAAAAGCCAAAATTCCTGAATCCTGAATAGTGAACGCCGTCAGATCCATTTTATTTTTTAAATAACTTTAAAATTTCAGATCAGGAGGAAGTCGGGAGTTTTTAAAAACAATGTTTTGTTTGAAAAACGTCAAAAACAGTATTTATATATATATATGTATTTATATATGATATATATATATATATATATATATATATATATATATA